TTTTTTTTTTTTTTTGAATTTTTTTGAATTTTTTTTTTTCCTTTGAAAGTCAGGAGCCAGTGTCCGAGTAGTTAACCAGTTACTCACCGAGATGGATGGCCTGGAGAATCGTCAGCAAGTCTTCATTATGGCTGCCACCAACAGGCCAGGTAAGGACCCAAAAATCATAGCCAAAGTAATCATAAGAAACTGGTGGCATTAATTTTCTTCTCATGCAATCCTGTGTCCTTACTTGTTTGATTACATAACTTTATTCTCTACTTAAAATTATGTAAAATTATGATGTCTTTTCAAACCCAAACCTTTTCTCAGCAACTGTRTCAGCGTATTAGTCTGTTCTACATTCGTGGAAAGAACAATATGAGATGAAGGAACATCTTTAAATGTCTCTTAATTAGTACCTGGTCCCACTGATGTAAAATGCTTTTAAAGACCTCTGACTTAATTGGATTTTGAATTATGTCCTCAGAATATAAAAGAACAAAAGTTAAACTAAAACAGTTACATACATTTTCCTGTTTATGTTGGTTTTCTATCCAGAAACAGTTTTGTATTTATTTTTTTCCCTTAAGGCATCTTTGTCCATTTTTTCTCAGGTTGCTTTTTATTTTTTTGCTGCTTAATCTCATGTTCCAGTCTTGTTCCCTCAACCTGAACTTATTCGCTCTTCTCTCAAATTATGTCAAMCTTTGATGCTTACTGCTTTCTGTGCTCCCTTTCTGGCTCCTCAGTATTTGGTAGCTTTTACAGTTCCTGCAGCATCTTTTGAGTTAATTAACTAATCACCGAGTCCACTTTTATGTATTTTACAACCAATTCTTTGTCTCTCTCTTTCATACCATAGAAAAGTATGCACTGAATTTGCACTCCACCTAGACACTGAGAATTACTGCCAAGGGAATTTGTTTTGACTATGGAAAGAAACATGCATAAAGCAATAGCCTTTCGTTAGTTATGAATGTTCTTCTGAACTTTATAAACAAAATTAATTACAGGGTTAATAATGGGGAGTATTTAAAAGCGTACTGTTGTAGGTACCTGAATTTTGGAATCAAGTTTTGTGCCCAGAGGAAGTGTTCGGTAAATTACTGGAAAAGATGAAACATGATTCAGGTTCCGTAATTCATGTATTATATAAGATGTAGAAAGCCAGTCAGAAATGACTTAACAAGGGATAATAGCATAACTGCTTCGGATGCGAATTTCAGGAGGAAGAAGTTAAAATACTTGACAGATTGTTTGAGACATATAGGTTGAGGAAATCTGTGCCGAAATGGCAGAATAGGCAGTTATGAGGATTTTTTTAATTTTGTTTTTAAGCCTTAAAAAATTCAAGCTTCATGAGGAAAATCTTCCTGTCTCCTTCTCCATGACAGACTATTAAGCCTTCTATATGGTGAGATATGGGCAGTAGATGCTTAATCTAAACGTGCTTGTAGATATTCCTTGTTTTTAACGCAGTAAGCTTTCATGGCACAAGTGGTAATTGTTCTGGCCAGTCTATTAAGTTCTAGATGCAGAAATTGAAAGAAGGTCTACGACTATATAACATGTATATACAGCTGCAGTTGGGTATATGAAGAGTGCTAGAAGTAATGTCATGACATTGCCTTCGCAAACAGATCTCCTTCTGAATTGGTTATGCTGGTGTCTAATCCCTGTTGAGCAGCTTTATTTGATTGTCAGCATTTCTGAAGGGCTTGTTTTCATTAGGGGTGTGCATCTAAATCCTGATGACAATGGAGTCCTAATTATCTCAGGTGACTTGGGTTAAGATTTCCCGCGCTGCTTTAGGTGAAGAAACATCCAACCTGACTTTGTGCAGTGCCAGCTCAGGAGCAGCGCGGGTACAGATGGGGTGAACAGACAGGGCCAGCGTGTGCTCAGCACTGTTTGGAGCCAAGGCCTTGAGCACCTTTGTCAAGGTGTGCAGGAACAGTGAGTATTGCAGCCTGGGAATGGGCTGAAGCCCTCTGGAGCCAGCTGGCTATTTCTGTATGTGCTTCCCAGATGTCTTTCGGCACTGGTGTTACATGACTTCCATTATTTGGAACCTTTTTATGACTGAAGACTTTGAAGACCTAACTGATTTTGAAGTACTTGAATAGTTTTATAAGGGCCCCTGGAGAGCAACAGCTAATATTTGTAGCAGTCCAGTTTACCCTAATTCCCTGTTTTACTAGGTTTACTAATTATAGTTTATTTGCCGCACAGCTTAAAACTCAGATTCATTTTGTGAAAGCTTTTATCAACTTGGTACTGTGTAGTTCCTGTTTTTCCAGGAGGACAGGCAGCACGCACTTGCTCGTTTGTCAGATGAAACGTGCAAGTGATAATTCTTATTCTGGGGGTCCTGAAACGGGTCTGCAAGTGATAGTTCTTACTCTGGGGGTCTTGAAACAGGTCTTTATTCTGTCCTTGCAAGCAGAATATTTTCATGTTTCTTGCACTTGGTGACTTGGAGSGTGCTCTGTAAATCATTCTTGACTATAGTTAAATACATGAGGATGTAGTATTCCCAACTCAACCTCTTTGCACTGAATGTAGAGCCAGTGTCGAACTTTGTCAAAAGAGGATTGAACATTTAAAGCCCTCAAGCTCATTAAAAATAAAGGGAGCAAAAGTAAAAGGAGACGCAGAAATGATCATGTTAGAGCCTTTATGGGTCAGCATAGTTGTATTCTTTTTCAGTCTGCCTCCTTCCTAAAACCCAAAATTAAATACCTGCAGCAACATTAAACACTATTGTTCCCACAATTCTTAACATACCAGTGTGCATTTCTGTAGTGGTGCTGCTGCTTTCTTCCTCTTTTCCTACTTCCCCAGGCCTTGCACATTTACAAACTCTTTAGAGAAGTGCTGCAAGGCATCAGCAGTTACGTGGGATCCACCAAGCCTGTATATAAGCTGAGAAAACAGACTAGACATCGGTGCAGCACTACCAGCTGGTAGGGATTTAAGCTGGGCTTAAACTGTGATGGCAGTTTAAGCTTGCTTTTACTCGCTGTCTTTAGTCCTATTATTTCTTGTGAAATGTCTTCTTTTAATATTACCTAGTTTTGGTAAGTGCTGTTTCCTTCAGCTGTGTTATTAGTCATCCAGACCTAGTGGCATGAATCACATGCTTTTAAAGCATAATTTGAAAAAAAAAAAAAAAAAAAAAAAAAAGTCTTTCATTTATTCTCCGGCAATAGTAATTCATTTAGTCCTCATTTTAAGAGTCTAGTTTGGATAGGTCAAAAGTAGTCCATGCAGTGAGAGCTGCTGAACTCTGTTACCACAAAATGTTTGGCCAATCAGAAGTACTGAATCTAATGTTTTGTTTCAGTTTTGGTAAATAGGTCTGTTCTGGTTTGTATAAGTTGTTATTTAGCACTCTTGACCAGYAGTATCCAAACACTTCTGAGAAGTATTTTAGGTAAAGAGATGGCCCTTATTTGTACGGGCCAGTTGTATACCTGTTTTCCAGAAGAAATCTACTCTGTGGAGTGTGTTTGCTCGGTAGGGATTTGGGGAGATAAGAGAGGCAACTTCTATTTTTTATTAAAGACGTGGTTGAAAAAATGCACTTAACGTGGGGCAAAGAACATTTTCTTTCATAACGGTCCTTAATTCACAAAAATTACATTTGTTTTGTCTTTTACCAWCTCTTGAATGCTACCTGCCTTTCAAGGGGAACCTCAGTAATGCAGAGGTTATGAATGTGAGGACTTGGATTTCGTTTACTCCAAAGGTGATTTAAACAGCTATTGTGAGTATAGAGAAGCTTGAGGGACTCAACACAATAGCCTTTGTTGCTGGGATGGAATGAATTTTCCTGAATGTAGTTGACTGTTTTATAGTTGAGGTAAGACATGAATAACCAACTGGAAGTGACTGTGAGACTAAGGGATTTTATCATAGSACAATATAGTGTCACATTATAGGACAGTGCCTGTCTTACATGAAGAACAGCCCGAAGTTTAAGCAGCAGGGACTGCATGTGCTCATTTAATGTTGTCTTAGAAWTTTATTAGGAAAGTAGTATTGTCATTTTCCAGAGGTGATGTCAATACCGCTGACTGTGTCGGAAGCTAAGACAGAACAGGATTACCAGCCTTTTCACTTAATAGAAACACCTTATTTCCCTGAGGCAGCTGCTTGAAAAATAAGTACTGTGTGTCATCAGGTTTCCGTGCCTCGTTTTCAAACTTGGGAGGTAATTGTTCCACTTTTAAACTTGGGAGATAATAATAGGCTTTGAAAGAGATCTATATCAGTTTTATTAAAATGCTAAATATGTTTAAAATTAATTGACTCTTCTGTGTTTACATAAGTCTACAGATGATAAATAGTGAGAAAACATTGTAATTCATCAGGTGAAATCCTGATTTGAAAATCCCTAAAAAGGGACCATTATTCAGTTGTTTAAAGCATATGAAGTGTATCTGAGGACTGGCAAATAAGTAAATGTTAATTTCTGTGATATGTTACTTTAATTTTTTGATGATTTAAGAGCTGCTCCAGGCCTGGAGGCCCTGCCCTGAAACAGCAAAGTGAAATGAGTGTGCCCGTAAGAGATGAGGGCAGAGCTGTGGTTTAAATTACAGCACAGTCCTCTCATGGTTAACCACCCTGCTGCAGCTTGCTGGGCTACTGCAGCTCGCTGAYAGGCAGTCACTCTCACAGTGTGGATTCCCTCGCTGGCAAATGGATGAACGTGTCTTTAGTCTGGATCAGTAATTTAATATTCTGGGGCAGGTAGAATGTAAGTTCTCTTTATGTAAGATGGAAATAGTGTTTTCTGTGTCAAGCCTAAAATTCTTACAGAGCTTTTGAAACTTTAGTTTGGGAAATGGTCAGTGTGGGGCATTGCAATGCAGTCCCTGTTTGGAGTGTTTGTTTCTGAGTGTAGCTGACCTGGTGAGCAAACCTCAGAGAGGCAGAAATAGGAGCATATTTGTCAAAGGCACAAGATAAGGTATCATATATAGCACTGTGCATAGAGCTACAAGAGAGACAATCTTCTCTGGGCCTGTCACGGCATGGCTACTGTTTAACTATTTTTTCAGCTGGTCTGGATTAAATAATGCATCGACTTGAGGATATTCTTTTTCTTTTTTCCTGCATGTTTTTTTGTTGCATTCACAGTAGCTAATTTTGCCTGCAGGGATGTCTTGGATCAGAAAAAGCCAGGGAAGCTTTTAGGTATGAGGTGAGAGTATAACTTGAACAAAACCACTTACATGATTAAAGGGAAGGAAGACCAGCTCGTGGCAGGATTAGGTAGCTAGAATCTCAGTGCCAGCCCTGCGAAGCAAACCTTATATTTGCCAAAAGAGGGGCAGATGTGCTTCTGTCTTTACTGTATTTTTTTTCCATGCATGTAATGAAGATTAGCAGCTTAGTCCTTCCTAGTTCTTCATATATTTATATATATTATATAGATATGAATGTATGTTCTTTGTTTAAAAGCTACATTTTTTTCAAGAGGATATGAAATTTGCAAGGGTACTAAGAGCTTCATTTGAAGTACKTCTTCATTTTGGCTTAACACTTGGGTTAATTTTCACCATTTAATTTTGGAGAAGATTCTTGAAATAGCTGTATTACACATCTATAGAACTTGCAGCTTGATGTACTGAAAACAGCTTTTTTGTCTTCTGTTGTTGCTTTAGTGACTTTACTGGTCACTGCACTTAAGTATGTAGGACGTTGATTTTTCATAATCCCTTTGTGAGGCAGAGTAAATGATTCTGTGTTTGGTTAAGCTGGACATCAAGAAGCCAGGTAACTTAGAAACATCATCCAAGCAGTCTGTGTGGAAATGTGGACAGCAGTTTAATTGCCTGTTGAAGCCTGAGGCTAAAATATTACCAGAGATTTCTACTGCATTTAAATTCTGAATGATTTTCAAGAAGCAAATTTGAAATGTTTCTSTTTCTTGGTCTCCATGTACATCATAAAATCTGGAGCCTGCACTGTTTCCTGGGAAACACGTCTGTACTTTGTAGCTCTGTTTTATGTTTTTGCCGGTATCATATATCATCATCTAGAAAACTAAAATATAAGGGTACAAATGACAAATAATATTACATTTACATATGGGCCCTATGATGGCTCCTACATACTTGGGATTCATAATTTGTCAGTATAATTTATATCAATAGTGCAACAATTAATATGGATAGAGCTCTTTAGGGTAGAGCAAACTAGTTCCTTGCTCATCTGTGCTGAGARTGACAGAAAAAATACACCGTATTTCCAAAGAGATGACCTCATTTGTGCATAGATGGTGTTTGTGGGTCCTGTTTGGTCAGATATGGGTATCGGAGACTCCAACTTGGAACAGGTAAATCTATTTTAAATAGCTACTTTAATGCTTTGAGCATCACATTGGGACTCCAGTGCTTCTTGAAATATCTCTACAGATGCAGGGAGTGCATATATTCCTGCTCCCACACACACTGCCTTGAAGTGTCTCCTGTTTTCAGAGAGAAAAACATGTCTCCTGTCTTGTCTTTTTCTTGCCCAAGATATCATTGACCCAGCTATCCTGCGTCCCGGTAGGCTCGATAAAACACTCTACGTGGGTTTGCCACCACCTGAAGATCGACTTGCTATTTTAAAGACCATCACCAAAGTGAGTATTTGGAAATAAAACCTTATCTTGAAGCTTGGTGGAATGATGTAGARCAGGTTAGATCTTACAGAAGAACTGCACAATCCTGAAACACCTTCAATTATTACACAGATCATAAAAAATAAATCATCAGCCACATCTCTTACATTTTCTGCAAGGTTGCTTGAGTTGATAAATCATGAATAAGGCAAACTTGTTGAATATAGACATTGCTGCCTTTGTAGTCACAATCTGAACAGTTTTAATTAAAAGATTCCTACTGTGATGAGTAATGGGCCTAGAAGTGTTTTGTGCATTTTGGGGGGAGGAGGAGTTCCTTACATGTTCGACAAAATGATTCACTGCTTCCAGCTGTATTTGTTCGGTGTTAATCACCACACTTAGTTCCCTTTGGATCAGTGGGAATCGTGTGCATGGTAGAGGTGATAGATCAAAGTAAATATGAAAAGTAAAAATGCTGTCTTTGRGGATCCTCTTGGAGTTAATGGCACRTTCTGCTCATAACTTGGAGCATAGAATTATTTACCAGTATCTTTGCAAGTACAGTACAGGAGTAATCAAGGYCTCAGACAAAAATACACAGAGAATAAAAAATTATGAAGCTGCTAAAGAAAAGTTAATAAAACTAATAAAGAAAAAGAATATACAGAGCACTATAGATTACTCAGATATTTCATCCTTTTTCTAATTGGAAGTATTGATAGTTGTGAGCAGTGTTTTATCAGATGTTCATGAGCAGCAAAGGAGACAAAGCCTTGGCTATAGAGAAGAGGCAGAACTTTAGTATGAATTTTGTGGAAAACTGATCATTTTTCCCTCAAGAAAGTCCCCCAGACTTGCATAAGAAGAAAGGTGTAGGTGTAGGCAATAGTTAATGTCATAAGGGAATTTGGGAGGCGAGGACACGTTTAAAGCATGTCCTCTCATGCTGYGATAGTTGTGTAAAAGTCAGGCTCATTGAACGTTCAGGGTACCTGACTTGCCTTTAAAGCATTCTATATATGGCATTATTTCAYGAAGAAAGAAGTAGTAAGGATGCCCATTTGCCATTAGCAGTAAAATGTTTAGTAGATACATTTATTTTTGAAGATAGATTGTGAAGTATTCTTTGAAAATGGGGCTTATGTGTTTTTTCTGACTTAAAGCAACCTGCTTCTGGAAGAAGTGGGTGGTGCTGGTCAGTCACTAGATAGTGTAAACAGAGCAGGAGGATTATCTGTGATCTGAAGAGTGTCCATGTCCTTTGTGTGTGTTTTCTTTCTTCCTTGCTCTGTRTTTTTTTCTGAGAAATCTCCAGAGATTTGCAACCATTTCAAGTGTAGGAAATGAGCGTGGCAAAGCTTTGCACAACCCTTTACGGGAGCAGAAGGTGATTTKAGACAAAACTGATGCCACCCACACTCCCTTTCTCATAGATTTTGCTCACCCTCTCAGCCACATGTGAATGCCATATGTGTGCACCCAAGTGCCATGGCCAGCATCACTTGTGTGCAGCACGGAGTGCGAGAACTTCTGGCTCTTGAATCCTCATCAGACTTTTGCTCCCTCATTGTGGAAATCATAAACGCTACGATCTATCTTCCTGTTGCAATCACACCAAGAAGATGTGTTGTGAAAGAGTTTTATTTCAGTAAAACTGTACAAGTCAGTCCTTTCCAAAGTGCATATTAATTAGACAAGAGAAGCAGGCCTTCACATGTCTAGYTTATCATCATTACGTTCCTACCAGCTGCCTCAGCTTCTGCGGTGCACGTACTGCTCGGCCTGTCTCCCTTCTCCAGAGCAGCTGGATCATCCCACTCATAAAATGCCCAGCAAACTTGTCTGTTTGAGAAGCAGTAGGTAAAACAGTGTCCCTAGCAGAGAGGGCATCTCTTTAGCTTGCAATCTTTTATCATATAAATACCTGAGAGGAGAATATCAAGAAGATGTGGCCAAACTCTTCTCAGTGGTGGCCAGTKACAGGATGAGGGGTAATGGGTACAAAACGAAACACAGGCAGTTCCATCTCCCTGTGAGGAAGAACTTCTTCACTGTGAGGGTGACAGAGCCCTGGAACAGGCTGCCCAGGGGGGTTGTGGAGTCTTAACTTCAGTCTAACTTAAAATGCCATTTGTTTTTGTTTGTGTGTTTTGGATGGGTTATGCAAAAAAGAATAATAGAAGAARCCACCTCTGGGATCTTTGTTCAGGAAGCAGTAATAGAACTTTAGATTAGTGTCCAAAAATGCAGGAATGTCCACAATTTATAAACCTTCATGAAATCACAAATGGAAAAATTCTACTTTAGAAGTGTATCCTTGTCTGTAACGTGAAAGGCATATACAGGTAATTCAAGTCTTAAAGGTGGTAAGGCGAGGCTAAATCTGGATGCTTTCAGCTTAGTGAGTTGATTTCAACACTTTATTGCTGCAGAGGGTAAGAGGAAGTTATCTAAGCRATGCCGTTGGCGTGACCGGCTATTTAAACTATGTCCAGTGTCAGTGTTGCTGCCTTGTGACAGGCTGGCTCATGTTTTGTTAGAGGAAACCTATTCTGTTTGTGGAAAGTTTTAAAGTTTGACTTTAATACTGCATCATACGTTTTTAAGGCTGGTCATCATCATTCTTGCTTTGAGATGAAAACTTCTCTAATATTAATGGATATATGGAGAAAATTGTCAAATTCCTTTATGGTCCCTGACTAATCARCTTATTCGCTGTAGGGATGGTATGTGTGAAAGGAATAATTTCTTACTCCTTTTTATCACCTCACTTCCCATAGGATGGCACTCGCCCTCCACTGGACGCTGATGTGAATCTGGAAGATATTGCTTTTAGTCAGCACTGTGACTGTTACACGTGAGTAGCTTCTAGTTTGGGCTTTAATATCTGCAATCCTAGCAGCCCTCTGATGCAAGGTTGTGTGTCTTACGTTATTGCTACACGGACCTCTTCGTTTCAAGGGCTACAAGCATTTTCCTTTGCTCCATTTTCTTTGCTCCCACTTGGGCTTTACAAGGATTAGATGGGAATATGTTGATGCCAAAGTCCTTTTCATCTGAATTATTCATCTTTGCGTTGTAAATGCAGATCAGTAAAGGCCACTCTTTCATCTTGGCTTTGCTTAGTCTTGTTCTACAGTGCTTGCAACAGCTGTTGTTAAGAGAACCCTCTTAAATGGTGGGTCCATGCTAAAGATGGTGAAAGCAAATAGGGTAAGCTCAGCTGTGCTCTCACACAGTTCCAAGCAGTGAGTTTGACACAGTAATGAGGGCCTATTTCAACCTTTTCTTTTTGAATACCAAACTATATGTTAGGCATATTTTTATAGCCACCCCTGTTAGAGCGATTTGCAAACTCAGTGTTCGGCATAACTTTGCAAAGCTATAGACTATTAAATGATTTATTAAAAGCTATTTTCTGAAATAAAGTCTTTATGACATGCTGCCTGTTGCAGTATTGCTGTTCAGTCTTATAAATGGGGGATATCACCAGTCCCAGTTTTTAGTTTGTCCTTGTTTCAGACCTGGAAAAGATGAATATGTGGAAGTCCTGTAAAGAAGCAGGGGCAGTTGTGTATAAAATGCTTTTGGGGAAGGGATAGTGGCTTTTGCTATTTTGAAGGCTTGTGCAAAGCTTAACAGCTGGAAACAACCTGTTTTGAAAGACTGATCTGACAGCATTTTGTGGATGCTATTATGGGATGCTGTTATTTTAAGGCCATGTTAATTTTAGCTGTAGGCAAAGCATCTCCTTGTGATGATGAGCGGTGTCGTTTGCATTGTTAGAATAGGACTGACTCCAGCAAAGTGYATCATGTTTCCACCAAGGGGCACAATATTACTGAGGAGTTTAGTGTTTTGAAGGATGGGTCCCTTGCTCCTTATGCATTTGATCTTAATCTGAGGCTAAAATCTGTCCGTGGGGAACTTTGCTCTTTAAAAAAAGTCGCAGCACCAGGTAGTCCTCAGACCTCTTTCCCTCATTCTTAAGAAGCACCTTTGTGACAGCACAGCCTTCTTCGTCATCTCTTACCCTCTTTCTTTTTCCTTTGGGTACATAAGAATTTTGCTTTGCCCTCTCACTTTGTTGGGGAGGGAAGAAAACTGCTGTGAGCAGGAAGGGAATGGGAAACGTGGCCTGTTGTTGCTGCAGAGGTCCTGGCCCTAGCTCTGCAGCTGAGCACGGGACAGAAATGGAGTGGGATGGGCCATGTGGAAAGCTGTGATAAGACTCGTAACTGCACCATTTCCCTCCTTCCCCTCTTTCTTCTGGCCAGTATTGAATGCATTTAGGATTGTGGGTGCTGCTTTGGTATGTCACGGCCTTCTCTTGCTCAGCCTGCCTACTCCTCTTCTTGTGCCTGTATTAAGGACTTTGTTTGGGATCAAATGACGTATAATAGCATTGCAAATGCTGAATGTGCCCTAGCTGCTGTCCAGTTTYTCTGTCCTTTAAATGATTTCTGACTCCTAACTTAACACCTAGAGGCCTTTACAGGGTGTTAAGGTGCAACTGCTATAATCATTTGATTTTTTTTTTTGTTTTGAATACTCTACAATCTGTTATGAGATTATGAACTCTTTCTTTTTTTTTCCCCGAATGGCCTTTTAGACCACTTATCATTTGCATTATGGTTTCTTGCATCAGCCAAAGATGGGAGAAAATTATCCTAAAATAACCTGTTTGGTTTTGTCTGTAGGGGTGCAGACCTTTCCGCTTTAGTGCGTGAAGCTTCAATTTGTGCCTTGAGACAGGAAATGGCCCAGCAGAACAGCAAAAGCAAGACAGGTAAGGAAGCCTTAGAACAACYGTATTTGTACAGTGAGAAGATAAATGGCCTGTAAAGTGCTGATCATTTCTGAGCCAAACAAATCTGAAGCCAGAGGTTTGTGTCTGGAACGCKTAAGAACCTTGGTAGAAGATGTAGATGAGAGTACAAGGAAAAGTTATTATGCTGGAGTTTTAGCATAACCTTTTGACTAAAAGAATTGAAGCTCAAACCTTTTAACCTTCCAAAAATATTAGWTGGTATTATAAATTGAAAATGTATATATTAGATTGAATACTTCATGCCTAATTTTCACGTAACTATGACAGACTAATAAGCTCTTTCTAAAGAGTAAAGTGGCAAAAGAAATTGCTGGAAAATGAGCACGGTAGGCATACAGTCTTTATAGCCTGCTCATTTTCCAGCAATTTTTTTTTGTTATTTTATGCTTAAGTCAAAGCTAAGATGGAATTGTGACTTTCCAGATGATATCCTTGGAAAATATATTAAGGYTCTAGCATGATTCTGATTCCTAACAACCACATGAGTTTTAATGACTTTGAAACACCCTTTTTGATCCCGTAGGTATCCAGTCCCATCTGTCTTTAGTAACAGCAGCATGTTTGTATTTCTTGTTAAGCGAGTGGCTGGGTCCCCTTGGGTGGGGAGGGCTAGAAACAAACTGTAAAGCCTTCCTTATTGCAGGAYTTGACTACCCATTTTGCTGCAGATAAGAAAGGTACTAAAAGCTTTTGATTTGAGATAGAAATTCCTGAATCAAATATGATGCATTTTGAATAAATATAAAAGCAAACAGGATAAATACAAAGATACTAATCTCTTGATCAAAGATACTAATCTCTTGCAGCCTGATCCAGCCATAAGATGGACTTGTCAGCTGCCAACAGATGTGTAATGTGTGTGCAGGTTGACCCACATGTTTGTAGCAGCTATTTATTTTGAAACGTTTTTCAAYTGTATTTTCAGCAGTGGTGTACAAACAGGCAGGAGAATTTCTTGCTTCACCACAGGACATGCACAGCTGACTCCACTCCCACGTTGTGTACATGATTGTAGATGGGTGGTGCATGTGCAACAGCAAACAGGTCCTTTGCATCACTTACCTGGGATCAGGGCTGTGCATTACCGTGCTGTAAAAACTATCACAACCCCCTTGTTGTACCTGCTTTTTCCTTCTAGAGCAAGTTTAATGTTTTGTTGTATGGCAAGGTTTTGCTTTGACTTGAAGGATTTTTTTTGTAGTGAAAAAGGAGAAGCTTCTTTTTTGTGATATCTCTTAAAGAAGCCATAAGTTTTGCTTCCGTCTTGGAACAGTCTTGAACACTTAAACAGTGCCCTAGGAGATGGCAGCTGTTCGACTCAGTGGGGCRAACCAGCCCAACTTTCTAACAAAGATTGGACAGATTTCCAGTTTTAAGTGCCCTCATTAGCCCAATTTGGGCATCCAGTGTTTTTTGCAAACTTGGGGCTTTTACTGTTGGTTCTATTCTCGGGGTCACTGATGAAGATAATGCAGAGTCCAGCGCTGGACACAGGACTCCAGGTRTGGTCTCACAAGGGCTGAGGAGAAGGGAAGTACAGCAGAGGTATTTGGGGATACTTCTATCCAGGCTAAACAAGGTACTTGCATGGGAGAACAGAGAAATCTGCTGTGAGATACTTACACATGAGCCAACTTCTGAGAAGGCAAGGGAGAAACTGCTCCAGAGCTATGGTGACAAATGATGGCTCTGAACGGCTGCGTGAGGGAAAAGGGGATACAGATAAACTCCAGGAYAGGCAATTGGAAAAGTGGAGACAAAACCTGCCTCACACCCGGATAACGCCAAACAGAGGCCTGATATAGAGCAAGTTATTTAGGATTTTAAAATCCTGTAATGGAATGGGGAATGATACAAAAGGTTCTCAGGTATGTACTTAAAAATACTTTGTAAGCACAGTTTGTAGTAAAATGTGTGCAGGAAATAAAATGCCACATTAGAACTTGAGAAATTTACTTCCCAAAAGGAAAAGTACCTGAACTCTAACGCGATTTGAGATAAACTGTAGTTAACACAGTATCTTTGAAAATTAAATTCCTAATCTGTAGGTGAAAACGTTAATGCAAACAAAAATTAAAAGTACTTTGGCATAAGGTACAGATTAAAAAGTTGCCTAAGATCATAGACAAGAGTGGTATAAAAAAGTGGTATACAACGTCAGGTATTCATGCCACTACTTAGATCTCATGCAAAAGACAGTAGCGCATGCAATCAGGCRTCATGAATTTTATTTGAAATATTGTCACTTCCCTGCAATTTCAAATAGTAATTTGTTGTGCTGCTTTTCTTTAAGGTGAAATCAAGATTTGCCATAAACACTTTGAAGAAGCTTTTAGGAAAGTGAAATCCTCAGTGTCTAAAAAGGTAAGAAAAGTTCACCTGAGAAGGACTGTTCTATTCTGGAAAGGATCCTTTTTATATACTTGTGATGAGTGGGAATAGTTAAGGTTAGAATATTCTTGCATGTGTGTGAAAGAGTCAACTTCTAAGAGCTAACCTGAAATGTCCTGCTGCACCTCAAAGACCAAATATTCTATCTTTGAACCATGTACTTCAATTAAATTCATTTGGAGAATGCTCAATTAAATTATTCTCCTCCCACACTGAGTTGCTACTTCTTGCGTGGGAGAGAAGTCTGATGTGACAAAGCAACCTGCRTTCTCCTGCGAGGATCAGAAACCACAGAAAGCTGCAGCTTACTGCTTCAGTGCTTACTTTAAACTGCACACTCGCTTTTCTCTCCCATATTGGCCTCATTTCAGTTGGCTTTTTGGCTTAATTGGTTGATCTCTGTGAGAGAAATGCAGCTAACCTCTTTAAAGCTGTAGAGAGATAACATCTTTTGTATTCAGTTTGAGCAGCAGWAGTTAGTGCCCAGATTACTCACTTCCTCCAAACTGTCCTTTTGAGGGACTGAGGAACAGTTACAGTGAAAGGAGCTAGCTTGTTTAAAAAGTTTCAACRGGAGATCTTTGTAAAGCGGGTCTATTTTTGCAGAAGCAGAGTAGGGAGTATCTTCACTCACAAATAAGGCAGTAGAGTTTTAGTGAAACTGTTCCCAACCCTGCGTGGCAGTAGGAAGGACGASAGCTCTGCCGCAAGGGCCTTTGTTAATTACGTGTTGCCAGTGACTGTTACCTGATAACCTCAATTGCATGAAGGGGGAGGGGGGAAGGGAAGTGTGTTGCCTCTAATTAGCTTTTTGTTCCTAAAGAATTCTGGAAAAAAAAAGTATAGCTAGTGGCTCTCATATCTGATTTATTTTCTCCTTAATTCTAGTATTGTAACTTYACATATGTTATTTTTACTGTCTGCTGAAGTTTTATCCTCTCTCTTATTTTGGCACTGTTAGGATCAAGTAATGTATGAAGAACTGCGCCAGTCACTGCACAGATGATACATTTGGACAGTTCCCCAGRGAGACTTGCATTGGTGAACTTCATAATACCTGTGTCTGATTTCAGATCTTTATAACTTTTTAATCTGCTTCTGAAAAGAAAAAGCTGTTGTAACCTAATGCTYTGAGCCAGCCTTCATTTAACTACATCCAGAATAAGAGGTAGGAAAACAAAAAAACAAAAACAAAACCCACCCTTTTCCCTTTTTGCTTATCACTATTTTGACCAAAAGATACTCAATATTTAGGCTTAGATTACTTAGATTATGTTTGGTGCCCTTAATCCTTCAGGGACAGAGAGGCTACCCCCTTCAGTGTGTAACTGTTCAGATACTTGCTCTTAGCCRTAAATGAAAACAGCTGCTCTCAGGAACAAGGATTCATAAGAATTATTCCAAGAGCAGAGCTGGGAGACTAGATCAGGGGAGGGCCCCCCTTTTGTTATCACACCCTTTAATCCTGATTTCCCAAATAAGGGGACATGGGATGATTGAGCCGGAGTAGGTTCTCAGAGTTGCTTCAACTTCCTTTTATCTTATCAAAAGAAGCCAGCCAGAGATGGCAATGTAGTCAAAGGAGGTAAAGCCTGGAAGTCTGARGAATGTTAGTGTATGATTTAAGGGCATCTAAAAAATTCAGAGTTATTTTGCAAGCTGGTTTTTAATTCTGAAAATAGAAACTACAAAACTAGAAATTACTGATTTGAATTTCCTAAAAGAGTGTTTGACAAATGCTGTAGAGGGAAGAAAACTTTTTGAAGAAGCAGGGCAAGTCTCAAGCTGAGATTTTTTTCCCCCAAAAAGCTATTACTAGTGATCTGTTAGCTCACAAACAAGAAAAAAAAAATAGTTTGTAAAAATAAACTTAAAACACAAACCAAAAACAAAACCTCACACCTCACCTCATTTTTTTTAGGTTTTTTATATAGATAGATATATATATATTACAAAAAAACAGATTCTCAGATTTACTTGGTTCCTGATGTCATTAAAAATGCTGCCAGGAAGTAGCCTGATAGCATTTTTCAGTGTTCTTCATCTGATGCATTTATTTTTTATTTGTTCTTGCAGTAAGTTCATAATACAGAAAGCTGCATTTCTTTATTTAATACAAGCGATTCCATCTTGGAAAGAGGGTCAGCATTCCAGATGGTGCTACTGGACCTCAGTTAAGATGAGCTGCTGCTACAGATAAATGGGCAAGCAGCTTTTGAACCCAGAACCCTTCATGCATTTTTACTGCTGTCATCATTTTAAAGAGTTCTTTGCTTAGAAGAGTTGCTTAAAGGGCTGCTGGAAKCTCAGTTACAATCTCTGATTAACATTATTATTCATTCCCAAAAACCTGTACAAGCATCAGAAAAGAGGATTTTGGTTTTTGGCCAGCAAGTTGCATAGTTTTTCAGTTGGCTAGTGCTCATTTTCAAATGCTTTTAGACTGGCAACATTTCTGGATAAGTAAAATAGTTTTTGTAAGCAAGCTTACAGAAAGTAAACATCTTCCTTCCTTACTTGAATGCTCCGTAGTAGATGATTGGTCTTGTACTCAAACCTGCTTTTATCAGCATAAAAGCAGAGTTGATGTAACAGATTGCCATGAAGTCAGAGTTGGACTGGTTGTGACACTGAACAACCTGACCTAACTTCAAATTGCCTCCCCTTTGAGTGGGAGACAGAGACGGCTCTTAGCAGGTCCTTCCACCCTCCAGTATTTTATGAATTGTGTGTCAGGACAGACTAGATGATCTTCCTACACAACTGAACTTCARCTGGCTGTGCACAGAAGCGTTGCTCCTGCGCTGCTCCTTTTTCTTGCAGGAAATGCTGCTTACACCACACTAGTCATGATTAAAAAGCAAATTAAAAAAAACTTGTAGAAGATAAAATACAAAATAACTTGTGCTTGCCCACAGCAAATGAGCATCACTCACATAGACCACAACTTTGTTCCACAGATGGAGCTTCCCCTTTCCTAGCAGACCTGCCATAGAGAAAGTTTTCCCTCTAGGCATCTTGTTTCTGCTGGGAAGAGATCAAGAAAGTGTTCAGCATGTCATTCCTCTCTCCCCATTCCTGAGGCTACCATCTACCTCAACCACATTCATAATTCAGAGCGTGCTAGGTGCCAACTTAAGCACGAGATAAGGGGCAGAAGCAGGTGCAGGGCTAGCAGCMGAACAGAAAAACATACTCACCTCTCCACAACCATGCTGTCTTCATCCCTGGCTGAATATATAACATTTTCAGCATGTTTGTCCTCACTGCAGGCCTGTGTACCACTGCAGCTTTGATTGTGAAACAGAGGGTTTACCAGGGAAGAGTGGTAGTTGCATATGCAGAGTAGCAGGGCGGTAGATGATGCCTATCTACATTGTAGAGGCACGCCCGTGCAGCTCCGTGTTTCCCTGGTACACATCGCAGCAATCCTGGCACGTCCAGAAGAGGCTGCACTTGGCAATTGGTAAGCTAAACCAACACAATGTGCTTTGCTGCGAGTCTTCTGAGACCCTTTTACGTAAGGAAGGAGCACCATGTTTATCTTGTACCACTTCCCAAGCAGGATCCTTACCTGAAAGCGGTTTTTCCTCCCCTTTGTCCAACAGGATTAGTAGGGCAGCTTGAACCTACAGCCACAGCACTGACATTTTAATAAGAGGAGGTGCCAGTGACCAGATAGGGGAGCAGCAGAACACTGAACTACTGGCTGCTGAATTCTGAAGCTCCCCAACTTCTCTCACTACAGCACAGCCCTTCCCCCTGATGTTAGACTGAACGCCAAAGGAGCAGAGGGGCACTGCTGAGTAAGGAAGAGCCCTGGCTGTTCTTTAACCCAGGGGCTCTTTACCTGGAAGAGACTGATTTCTCAGCACTTTCATAGATTTTTTTGGCTCAGTAGTTATTTAGGCAATAGAAATGCACAAGTCGCAGCTATTCTTCAACAGCATTTTGGTTCCAGGCAGCAAGATTTGCCTGGACCCAAACTCCAGAGCTGTAGGAACAGGGAGGTCACCCATCCCACACATGATAACAGGCCATCCTTGTGGGGCAGACTGGTTCTGCAGCCAGACAAGGGCGCCAGAGGCAGAACTTGTTTTGGAAAAGGAAGGTATCCACAGCTGGCTTGGGGAAACTCATGCCTCCTGCAATCAGTCTGCCAGCTGCACTGCCTAGTCTACTTGATCAATCTCATATAATTAGGAGGGGGTAAAAGTCACATAAGATTGAAAACTGCACATGACTTTCARAGCTCCAAAGGAGAGCCAGAATCCTGAGCATTGGAATTACAACAGAAACACTCAGCGATGGACCCAACAGTTGACCCACTGATTTGTGTTTTGACAGTTAAACTCCAGGCTGCTTTCACATAAAGAAATGAGAGGATGGGTCCCACTAAGCAGCTAGTCAGGCACATTAGCTAAACAGAAAGGACTGAACAAGCACATAAAAAGGACAAGGCTTGCCAGCTCCATCTGACTCAAGAGAACACTTTTAAGTGTTATGAGTTTAGAACATACGACACTAAGTTAAGCCTTGCAGCTGGCCTATTTTGAAGGATGCTAACTCCCTTTAAGGATAAAATGATGTTGCAGCATCAACAGGTCTTTGTGATGCAAATCTTTTGTGGTCTGCAAATGATGTTGCAGACCAAAGCAGGTCTTCCAGGTCATCTGCTTCTAGCAAGAATCCCTCCTCCAAAAGTTGGCTAAGACCTCTTATATAATGCATGGATATTAAGATACCCAAGAACAGTGCTTACTAGTGCCTGCAAGAATGAGACTATAGCCTGTTGTAAAGATAACTTTGTGGCAAAGATTAAGCCCGCCCAATAGATGCTCTCCAAGAGGCAGCCATCAGCACTTGCTTCAGGAAGAGCACAGCAAGACACACTCCCCCTCAGCACTGGCCCTGTGACTGCTCTTAGAGCAGTAACATGGTGCTTGCACTCAGGGAAGTCAGAACATAAATCAGGACTTAACTCTTTAAAAAGCAAAAGAGCAACTGCAGGCCTTTTTGAGAAGCAAGAATTCAGGCACTGTCCTTTGGAAGTGACCCACTAAGGGGCTTRGGGGTCACTACATCTAAGGACAAATTTAACTCAGCCTTCAGTTATCTTGGCTGAATATTCAAGATAATTGAAAACTAAAAGTGAGAAATAAAGTGGCTATGAGAGTTACTTTGGGAGGCTTTCCACACCTCATTCAGCTATGGTAAACCTACACTGAAGAGTGTTATTTCACTTGTAAGAGAGACTTCAACTTGATTTGCAACTTTTTAACCATCTAAGTCCCAAAGTAGTTTTTCCACATCATTCAAGAGGATGACCATATTTCATAATACTAAATTCCTAAAACCTTAAACCCTCTAGCATCCAAGGACCACTCAAAAATCAACCCAATCTTTGAGATTTGTAAATCTTTGTTTTTAATTCAATTTTAAAATATTGGATAAAGTATATTGACATTATATCTCCCCTGTGCAAGATACTCTGCTAGCTACCACATCCCTGCCATGATAACAAAGTCACTTGAAGTGGCTGGCACTTTTATAATGAGACTTTATTGACACCAGTTCTGCTGCTTGGCTGGAGGTGAGGGCCCAGGCTTCAAACAAACAGAAGTCCCCAGCAAAGCACTGAAGACAGAATTGCAGTCAAGCAAGGATAGGACACGGTAACATGTTCTCTGGCACTCAGCTGCTGCTTCCCAAGCTTGCAGGGGACAAGGCAAGTTCCTTACAGCACATAACAGGTGACAACCTTCAGACTCCATATTTTAAAGTAAGAATCACCATTTGACATGGTGTTTTGCACCAGTCTGTCAGCTTAAAGCTAATGTATTGGTTAACAGAAGGCAGAAATAGGATGCTGACRTGTGTGGGGATTCTTTACTGCTCAGTAAGTCCATCCATTCTCTATTCCAATATAAAATAACTTCTCTAATAGAAAATTCAGTGGTATCACAGCTGTTTTCACTGCATTTTAAATACAAAAGGCCAATGTTTTTGTAGGCTACTGTAGTTTTAAAAACTTAAACAARATCCTTTAGCAATCCTGTTCTGTGTACACAAATGACATGCCTGAAAGCTCCAGCTGCCACTAACATTGTCTACCAGAACAGGGTGTTTCAGCTGATTAAGTTCCCTCCACACAAACCAAATTCCCAAACAATAAGAAATTCAAGAGCTATTTGAAACCAAGCTAGCCATAGAATCAACAAGGACAAGCCCACTCATATCTGGGCAGATCACAAGAACCCCTAAACCTCAGCAGCAGGACTTGCCGATACACAAAAGCCTCAGGAGTTACAGGGAGCCACCCAGGGGCTCTCAGAGCACCATGAGCAGCAGCTGCAGAGCTGGGCCCCAACRCATGCAGCTCTCAAGTAGGTGGGGACCAACAGAGCTAAAGCCACCTCTAAATTACCTTACTTTTCACAGGGAAGTTGCACAAACCATCTAGAATAAGCCAGCTTCACACTTAAATGATGGAATTGCTCCTTTAAACAAAAGTGAAACATATTCAAGTAATGCTTTAAGGGACATGTTACATATTTTAAAAAAGGCATTTAAGTATTTCTGTGCAAATCTTGTTCTCCCCACCTTGAATTAGGGAGCAAGTTCAAYAGAAAATTTAAGTTAACAGATCATGTTAGTTTAAAATCAACAAGTACAGCACTTTACAGTTAAATAGTCATGTTTGTGGGAAGCATACTACACTGAGAACTTTTTACTGTTTTTAGGAGTCAAASACATTTACTGCCAAAGTAAATCCTGTAACAAAGTGATTTAATATTRTGCATATAACACTGATCCTTAGGCAAACAGAGACGTTAATACAATAAATCTGAAGACTGCTAGGAATGTTATAGCTGGCAATAGTCTACTTTGTTGCCAAGTCCTTACRGATGCATTGCTAAGTTGCTGCAGATCTTATTTCAGGGCATGGGTGGACATCTTTAGCAAGAGACTTTGTACCAGCCACTTTAAAGCAAGCAGACATTGCAGTCTTTTTGGTTGCCAGAAGTTTAATCTTGTTTCACTTCACCCTTTAAATGCCTTTTCATGCGTGAGTACGGGCTGATTGTATCATCCATCACGAAGTCATAAAGCACTTTTATCCACGAGTTATACTGAGGCAGGTCATCATAGTACTCAGCTGCTATTTTCTTCACCTGCAGAGACAGAGGGTCATTTACTATTTAGTTCCTGCTATAACAAATTCTACAAGCCTCAACCTGTATCTTAACATGGAGCACTGGTAGCTGTTTTTAGACATTACACTTAATCTACTAGTAAAACAATGAAAATTTCTTGGAGAAAAAATCCTTATTGGTTGTTCAGTAAAATTTGTGCAAGGCTTGAAAGCTGCAGAAGGGGCTTGAGCAGCTCAACAGGAGCAGTGAAGTCCACACACCGCTGCTTGCGGAATGATGCAGCTCAAAGCAAGCAGGTAATTTTGAACTGCTGGAAACAATTACAAATGTAAAATTAAGAGTTCACTTTTAACAGCTAATTTTACATGTAGTTTTAAGCCTCAGCACTCAGGGTGGGGGGACAAACAATAATTTCTGAGAATAAGCCCTGAGAAGTCAATAGCTTGCAGAGACTTCACTCTTAGATGTGCAGCTTTATGATACCATCTTTTAAGCCAAGAGAGATGCAGTTTTCCTCAGATATCATTACTGAGGATATTTAACATCAGACAYGCAAAGCCTTGGAAATACCTGAACAGATCTATTTTGTTAATCTGTACTTGCAACACTTTTGCTGGTTACATGCTTGATTAAGAGCTGAAGGTAATTGACTCCAGCTGACACCACACCCAAGGCAGCACACCTACTACATGTGTGATTTTTTGACAGGATTTTCATTTGTCTCAGCTGGATTTAGGTGCTCAGCACTTCAGTGATCTTTAGCATGCAGCATAGCAGAGTCCAGTCCAATCAAATTAACTACTCTTGTAAAAGGCAGCTTTGTTTTCTTATCAACGCTGTGGATTAACAGCCTTATAAAGCTTTTTTTTTTTGAAGTATTTAATTGTGGAGATTAAAAAGGGAAAAAAATCACTCTACTGAGAACTTAAGTCGGGACATGTGATGTGCTARTGTGCCAGGTTTCTCAGCACAGAAGTTACCTCATCAAAGGCAACTTAACTTCAACTGCACTTGAAAGCCGAAGTCCATGAACAAGAGACATTCCCTCCAAGCCCAGCTCTACAAATGAATTGTGAATTTGGCTGGAATTCACAGCCAAGGAAATGCTGACAGGAAGAGGAGAAACCCCTCCCTCCAACACTAGCTGTACAAGGGTGACAAGTTTGGAGACCATCAGAAGGCGCAGCTCACCAGGTCCCATCATTACTGAGTGCAGCAACAAAGCCATGCGGCCAGCACCAACTGCTGTCAATGGAAGAGATAGCCAAGGCAAGTTCTGGGTGCCTTCTGCAARCCTGTGCTTTCATCCTCAACTGGGAAGCACAGAGACAGGAGCTGAACTCCACTTTAAACTTGGAAACAGGGAAGAAAGCAGCCTGAAAAATCCCTGTCTGCTACTCCTGCAGACATGGCCCATCTCAGCCTTACCRCGGAAGCTTTAATCATGTCAGTCTAGCACAGCTGATACTTGCTTAGGGTCCAAAGTCCTTCAGGAGAAAAAAAAACTAAGCTGCTCCACAATGGAAAGCTATTAAACATTTGTCAACAGTACAACAAAGCCCYGCGATACCTCAAGGCTTCTCTTTTTCCCCACCGCAGAACACAATCCTGAGCAAGTGACTGTGACTCAGTGGCCAAACTGAAGGATAAATGTGTGTTACCATATTTTACTTATAATTTCAAGAACAGAGGGGGCTGGGAATTTGCTGCAGACTCTCTGCAAGTTAACTAGTTTCATATACATKTCCAAACAGAAAAAAAATACTGAAGGCTGCTTGTAATTACAGAGAACTAGAAGTTAGCACAAAAGAGAGGGTATCATCACATGTGTTTCCACCCAGCTCCCTTTACAGGAAAGGCTAGACCAGGAAGCACATTAGTAAGTCTACTCAGGATACTACTAAAACAGTAATTTCCCCTTCATTATTTATCTTACTACTAAAAAAAGCATGAAAATTTCCAACTTCTAACTTTTGAGGATTTGCTGAACCTATTCCATCAGTTTTTCAAGTTAGAATAGGGCTTAAGAGAAGTAAACTTACCAGTGGAAGGCTCTTGCCAGGAATATTGGGGAAGTCRTGGTGCTCGTTGTGATAGCCAACATTAAAAGTGAGCAAGTTAAGGGGGCCATAGTAGGAATATGTTTCATGCCCTTTTAAGAACATGTAATGTTCAGCTATGAAGTGTCCTGAGATGGGGTGCAGCCCGAGGCCCAGCACGGAGCCCGCGAGCATGTAACAGAGGGACTTGGCTCCCCACAGGGAGTATATGGCAACGTCAAAGGAGAGCTGGGCCAGCAGGTTGATGATCTCCAGGCGACTGATGGGCTTGGGGTTGATGCACAGGGGCCTSATGGCGTAGAAGAGAGGCTGAAGGACAATCCACATGAACTTCCTGAAGCGCGTGCAGAAAAACCAGCCTTCGAAGTCAGTGGGAATGTCCACGTCTATGCCATCCCCGCCCAGGTAGCGGTGGTGATCCATGTGGTACCTCTTGAAGGAGATGGAGTACGGCACGCCGAGAGGCAGGTTGGCAAATATTCCAAACCACCGATTCCACATGGCTTTCCTGTTGCCGAAGGCACTGTTGTGAGAGATCTCGTGAATAGCCAGGGTCATGGAGTGGCTAACGCAGCTTCCGAAGACGTAGGCCCAGAAGAGCACCCACTTCCAGTCCAAGTCCTTCACGAGGTAAAACGCAGCCAGCTGCGCGAGGACCATCAGCAGGACCACCCAGACCAAGTTGGTGTCGGGCTTCATGAGGGCCTTGATCTCGGGATGCTTCTCTGCGGGGCGAGGAGGGCAGGAGGCCGTTGGCTCGGCGCCGGCTCCCCCGGCCGCCGCGGGACCCCGGGCCCCCGCAGGGACCCCCCGGCCGCCGC